ATTTAAAAAAAAAAAAAAAAAATATTTTTTTTTTTTTTTTTTTTTTTGGTGTTTTGAGGTGGTGTTGTGGTGATTCTCAAAATTTTAAAAAAAAAAATTATTTTTTTTTGTTTTGAGAAACTAACAAAAAGAACGCATTTTCAAGAATTTCAAAACAAAAACTCAAAATACAAAACTCAAAATGAATTCAAAACTCAAAACACAAAACTGAAATACAAAGAGAACACCCCCTAAATGTTTCAAACAATTCATGAAGGGAAGCACTAATTTGACTGATTATTAATTTAGGTCAGAAATTTATGGTTGGATATCATCAAGTTTGAGTATTTGTTCAATTACCCCTAGAAGATCTATTTGTATAACATTTATTAGCAAATTAATTTTATTTCTTCGATTTAATTTTACTTAAAGTATATTTTCTCATGTAGGTGCAACAAATTTGGTTGGTAGTATTTTGGTCCTTTTGTACAACACGATAATTGGGTAAAATGTAGAGATACACTATTATTATTGTTGCAGTCTATAATTGAATTCTTAGGTGATTTAATAGTTTTATTATTGTTTATTCAAATTCATGAAATGATATAGTGTGCTGAATTAACTAAAGAGAATTGATTTGAACTTGAAAGAGTTAAATTGATTTGATTAGCGAATTAGACAGAATATAAGTTTAGAAATTGAACTTGAGAGGCAAGACTTATAAAGATGTGATATGTAACGTGAAATCGTGAGTCACAACGCTTTAACTACAATATGTTATCTCATAATCATAACAATTCAAAGAAAACACTTTCATTTAATTACTTCTAATATTTGTTTTAAACAGAACTTTGCCTTCAATTCTGTTTTAGTCAAATAAAGAGTGTGATTGTTTATATTAATATTTGAATAAAATAGTCTATGTAGGACGAGAATCCAGGTTCTTTAGGTCCATTTTACCATGTATTTAGTTAACATCGTACACTTAAATTTTATGTAAACAAGTATTTGGCACCACTATCCAGGATCGAACCCAAGTTACCCATGTGATAGTCACCCATGTGATAGGCCGATCCTCCAATTGCTCTCTTAATGCTTCTCATCAATTCCAAGTCGTTAGTATTCAATTGCTTCAAACCAACTTCAATTAAACTCAAAATCATCCCTTTTGCTTTAAGTACCTCCAAAGTTGAGTTTTATCTACGAAAGTATACACTAAATTAAGTAGAAATTTGATAATTTATAAATATATATCAAGTTTATAAACAATTATCAATATATAAAATAAACTTATCGAACATCATTAAACTTAATCCTTTGTTTTTGTTGAGCAAGATTATCTGCTCAAACACCAAAAAAAATTAAAAATAAAAATCAATTCATTAGATAGCTTATCCAATTTGTCTCAGATTTTGAAACTACTCAGACAATTCATAAAATGCTTCTAAGTAATGCTACCAAAATTAATTTTCACTTATTCGATAATCAATTAAAAGGTCACAAATTATCTAAGTAATGCTATCAAAATTAATTTTCACATATTCGATAATCAATTAAAAGGTCACAAATTATCGTGATCGCGATATTGTCGCTCATCCATGTTGTGCAGTGTGGCTAGGATCTCACCTTATCTATCTCGCAACCGTCAAATCTAACTAGTGTGCCCCAATAAAATCATCTACATGGACTCCAATATTGGCTCGAAATTGACTGTACCACAATGTTGGATCATCAACGGAATCACCGAGGCCTCAATTTCAACCGGTGCCTCATCGTTAATCAGAGTGTCCTCCTCTTTTTCATCTTCATCTTTGTCTTCCTCCATTGCCAGTTGACAAGTGTATTTTATACACTTATTTGAACCATTATATGCGATTAATTATAATTAATGTTGACTACTTATGGCTTAATTAGGTAATAATTATGTTCGTTAGGTAAAACTTAAGGCATATTAGGTGAATTGAAAGAAAAGAATCGCAGAAAGGGGCGAAAAATGAAGAAATACAAAGTTCAGGACCAAATTATAAATATTCAGTAGTTGATTCAGACCACAATATGATAACTAAAGATTACTATGAATCAATTGGATGCAATTAAAAGTCAAAAAGGAGTGAAAATACAGTCAATGGATTTTCACAAATCAATTTTCAACTGCACAAATCATATTCCAGATTCATAGTCGAAGGTCCCATTTTTGGAATATTGAACATTTGAATTGAAGAAATTCTATTTTTATTAGAATTGTAGTCTTTTGAGTTAACTTTCCAACGCACTTTCAATCACCTCAATCAGATATCAAACGAGAAAATTATGATCAAAATTCTTGTTTTCTTGATTAATTTTGCATACTCATTATATTATTTAATTGTTTGGCCACAATTAGATAATTAATTTATTGTTGTAATGTTGAGAGACTCATAATAAGTTTAGAATGCGATAAAATTAACATATATGCAATAGATGTTAGAAATAATATTTATCGCGGGTGCAATAATATAGATAATATAAAATTTAATGTATTCTAATTATAAGAAATCGGGTTAAGACTAGATTCGGATCGTGATTATAGTAGACTTATTTGTTTTGGAAAAGAAAGTTAAATACATTAACTTTATCAATTATCAAGAATGCATGAATGAAACTAAATTTACAAATTGAGAATTAAAATAGATAACAATAGGCGGACTCTAAATCCAATACAATCATCCATAATTTTATATAAATCCAAGTTTTTACATATTTCGTAGAATAATTNTAACAATAGGCGGACTCTAAATCCAATACAATCATCCATAATTTTATATAAATCCAAGTTTTTACATATTTCGTAGAATAATTTGCAATAAATAAAATCAAAATCTCGTTTGTGTAATATAATTCGAGTTCCATATATAACTAGTAAACTTAAATTGAATTTATTCCCTGTGGAACGATATTCTTAACTCATTAAATTTTTTACTTGTTAAAGATCTCGTACGCTTACGAAATTTTGCCGAAAACTAGCCTTGCTTCGTTCTTGAGCCTTCTCACATGCCCTACTAACTGTCTCATGGTTGTAAGGTGAAGAATGGGCATTCTTTTCTTGTCAATCTTTGATCGGCTCATTAGAACCTTAGCTTTCTTGCAAAGAGCCGAAATAAGCCTTAGTGTCCACCTGGTTCTCTCAAAAGAATTAGGTACAGTGAGCCACTTGGTAAAAACCTGTTGAGACCTATACCTTCTATGGATAAGCCTCCTACTCTTAAGTTGAAGCCATTGTCGTCTCACCTTTATCACGCCTACCTAGGTGAATCTATTACTGTGTTGTATGATATGAAAGAGTTGGAGGAAGATAAATTGCTCAAGGTATATAGAGAACACAATCATTGGATGGACCATAGCGGACATTCAAGGAATTATGCTTATCTCTTTGCATGCACAAATCCTCATGGAGGACATTTATAAGCCATCAGCAGAGAGCCAATGCAATTGAATTTAACGTTGAAGGAAGTGGTCAGAGCTAAAGTTCTAAAATTGCTAAATGTGGATATAATCAATCATATCTTAGAAAGCTCGTGGGTGAGTCCAATTCATGCAGCACATAAAAGAGAAATAATTACAATTGAGAAGAATGGGAATAATGAGCTTCTTCCGATGGAGTTTGCATTGATTATTGAAAGCTTAATAATGCTAAAAGGAAAGCTTACTTTCCATTATCCTTTTATTAATCAAATGTGTGAACAGATGGCAAGTCACTACCATTATTTCTTCTTGAATGGCACTCGGGATGTACTCAGAGTCCGATTACGCTAGAGGGTCAGGAAAAAACTGCAATCACGTGTACGAGGCATTTTGGATAATGCCTTTAGGCTTATGCAATGTACTTGCTACTTTTCAATGTTGCATGATGGCCTTATTCTCTATGGTAGAACGTTATATAGAAGTACTTATGAATGATTTTCAGTCTTTGGAGATTCTTCTAGTAATTGCTTGAAACACGTACATAAGGTGTTGCAATGATGTGAGGAGACAGAAAATTGTCACTTCATGGTGATAGAAATGATAGTCTTAAGCCATTAAATTTTAACTTGGGGGATAGAAGTTGACAAAGCAAAAATAAAGCGATTGAGAAATTGTAACCACCCAAGTTCAATGATGGGAATAAGAAGCTTTTTGGGACAAGCATGTTTTTACAAGGGTTTCATCAAAAGACTTCTCTAAAATTACAAAGCCTTTGTGTAGCCTCCTGGAGAAGGATGCATCGTTTTACTTTCTTGATGAATGTCTAACACACTGAAAAAGAAACTGATAACTGCATCAGTTATAGTTGCGCCGATTTGAATTTTTCCATTTGAACTAGTGTGATGCCATAGTGCCTACCCAGTGTCTGCAATGCTTGAACATCGTGAACAAAAAATTCTTCATCTTATATATGATGATAGTAAAACATTGATCGATGACTATTGAGAAGGATATGTTAGCTGTAGTCTTTACATTTAACAGATTATGTTCGGAGCCTATCAGATCAAAGATATTAGTCTACACTGATCGCTCGACATTGAAGTATCTGTTTGAGAAAAAAGATGGCAAACTCAGATTGATTCATTAGGTCTTATTGCTATGAGAGTTTGACATTGAGATACATGATAATAAGGGGATAGAAAATCAAATAACAGATCATTTATCAAGGCTTGAGCAAACACAAGCTGATGAGGTAGAAATAAATGAAGTGTTCTCTAATGAACATATCATGAAAATGGAGACATCGTGGTATGCTCACATTGTTAATTATTTAGTCAACCAAAATGTGCTTCACGAATTCTTTTATCAGCAAAAGGAAATTTAAATTTCGTTCATAATGTTCTCCAATTCTATAATATTATGTATCAAACATGTTCTCTTATTGGATTGACCACAAGTAAAGAGGAAATGAAGTAAGCATTTCATTAGAAAACTGAGAAAGAATAACAAGCTTAGATAACATAAGGCTTATTTATGTCAAATTCAAATACGTTTTTGAATTCCCTTCGTATTTGGGGTACAAAAATGGCGAAACGCATTGGAAAAAGATGTCACAAAAGAGTTTGTAACCGGAGACGGTAGCTTTATGCAGCAGCAGTAATGCACTCAATTGCCTGTTTGCATATGCCAGTCATGGTTGCTTCAGGTCCATACACCTGCAACAGAGATAAAATCAGTTCCAATGCTCCTCTTTCTTTGAGAGTGAACATAATTTTTTTGCTCCACTTTAACATTTGAGAGTCTTTTAGGTTAAACTATGTATTTATAATCGTACCTCAATAGGAAGGCCGATTTCTTCTGCAAGAGATCTCATTTTCGCAAGTCCCTTTTGGTAATTAGGACCTCCTCTTCGGAC